GAAACACGCGGAGAAGCTTAGCCGTCCAGCGGCTTGCGCTGTGATGTTCACGCAGTACTTTGGCTATGCAATGAATACCGGTCTACCACACCTTTACCAGCTTTTGCTGCAGATGGTCCTCGACCCCATCATTGCAGCCTTGGTATTTACAGTTACGACCTTCTGCTGGGCAGCGGTGGCGTATCGCATGTGGGCGAAGCCCTCGAAATGAAGGCGCTTGGAAGCCTTGTGTTGTTCACGCTTGGACTGAAACCCACGCCCAAGGTGTGGGATGTAGAAGTTTGAGTAGAACCTGAGGCAGGCCAAGTTTGACAGTCACACTTGCCTTCAAGCGAGCGCCCGAAACCATAGCTGAAACCCCAAACTCTAAGCCTGAATCCCGACAAGCCTTCCCGAAATAAACCCGAAGCCCTAAACACTAAACCCCATAATCCCTGTAATCCCTGTAATCCCTATAAACCCTAAACCTGAGCCCTAAGCCCTGAACTGTGTAGGCCCTGGGGACACTTCATGCTTGGGTTGAGGAGGATGCCAATTTCAGGAATATGCTGGAGAGGGTCTGAGGGGCTAACCCGGTAATTTGCATCCTGAACCCTAAGCTCCCTGAGCTCCCTAAACTCCAAAAACACCAAACTCCCCAACCCTAAACTCCCTAAACACCCTCAACTCTAAACCCCCTAAACTCCCTAAACTCCTCAAGCCCTAAACCCTAAACTCCCTAAATTCTAAACTCTAAACTCTACAGCCTAAACCCCCTCAGACCGACCACAGCACCATGACCGCCCTCCGGACTGCGAGGGCCGAGGTGCAGGCGCCGGGGCGGGGGTCCCTCGGGCTTGAAGAGTCGTGGGTTTGGGGTTTAGGGTTTAGGGCTAGGGTTTAGGGTTTAGGGTTTTGGGGTTTAGGGCTTGGGGTTTTGGGGTTTTGGGGTTTAGGGTTCAGGGTTTGGGGGTTTGGTGTTTGGGGCTTTGGGTTTAGGAGTTTGTTGTAGAGCCTTAGGATGCTTCTGCTTGTAACTAAGGCCCAGCAAGAGCCAACCTCCCCTCGTGTGAGCTTGATAGGCACGTTCTGAAGTTTTTGTGATTTATATCGTGTTTTTGACCCTAAACCCTAAACCCTACCTAAAACCCTAAACCCTACCCTCAACCCTAAACCCTAAACCCTTCTGGCTTCAGGGGGCCCACCCCCAAAACCCTGAGCTGCCATGAGAGGCCTTCCGGATGCTGGGACGTCGCAGGGCCGAAGTCGCCGCATCCCGCGCTGCCGGCCCGTTCTGTCTCCTCGCATTCTGCCACGTTTAGGGTTTAGGGTTTAGGGTTTAGGGTTTAGGGTTTAGGGTTTAGGGTTTAGGGTTTAGGGTATAGGGTATTTAGGGCTTAGGGTTTAGGGGGTGAGCTTCTTCCCTGTAGTCCCTGTGTTTCACAGGGGGGAGGGAGGGGGTGTCGCCTGTACAAGTTCTCTAAGGTAACAGGCCCCTTTTACTTGAATATCTGCACCCTTGTAACCAGGACCCCCGTTGACTCACCTTCCTAAGCACGAGCCTCCACAAGGCAACGAGGTTGCCACAGAGGGGGTAGGCTTAGGGGTGGTAGCAGGTTTCGGCTGGTTGGTGCAAACCTCGAGCACTAACTAAACTCTGTTTCGCCTAAGCCCTAAAGCGCGTCGTATCAAACCTAAATGCTGATCCCTATGTGAGATCGCCAGGGAAAGCTCTCCTAACTTGCGCTCCGGTGTTGTCGGCTTGGAGGCAGCAGGCCCGACTGGGATTCAGGGATTTGGGATTTAGGGTTTCAGGGCAAGGGTTAAGGGCTTTTCGGGCTTCGACTTCAGTGTTCGATGCTCTTATACGCCCAATCAAGCAAAGAAGGATACGCACGTTTGCTTCCTAAACTACACTGGAACCTCTAACGTCCTTTTGGACTACCCCGACCTTGATTCTGGCTGAATAAGGTTTTGTCTTTTTGCCGTATATTTCCGGGAGGGGAATAGGATCGCAAGAGCTTAGCTCTATTACCGGGAAGTTGGGGGGTTGATGGCTATCATAAAGAGCCTATAAATAGGATTCGTTATCAGTAGCCTGCCTGGAAAGCTCTGTTGCTGTTCAAGTATTCTTTGGGTGGGATCCCATATGGGAGTATACGAAAATAGAAACCCCTTTAATCGCCTGCAAATACCAGGATCCCCTTATAATGCGGACCCCAATAAGGTACCCCCCCCCCCAATATCGCGAACCCAAAACCCTAAACCTTGAACCCTAAACCCTAAACCCTAAACCCTAAACCCCCAACCTATTCCTTGTCAGACGGACTCCGGCAAGACCTCGCGCCGGCTGCGCCCAGGGGAGGTGCTGCTGAACTCCGGCGAGGCGCTGGCCAGAAGCGCAGTTCCGGGGTTTAGGGTTTAGGGTTTAGGGTGTAGGGTTTAGGGTTTAGGGTTTGGGGTTTCCGAAATTAGGGGGTACCTCTAGGACGAAGCCCTACCCTAGAAAGGCTGTAAATCCTAAACCCTATATAGCCTGCAACCTAGAAACACCGAGAACGGTGTACGCAAACCCCAGAAAGAGGGGGGCCCTGCAGCTAGAAAGGGTGCAGGGACTCTGTTTGGTCTCTTCATGGGCCTGTCCCAGGTTCCCCGACCCGAAATTTGCTAACTTCTCGCAGAGCCAGGGAGTATGCATATGCTGTTCTGGGTTGGGGTGTAGGGGCTTAGGGTTTAGGCTCTAGGGTTTATAAGCCAGAAACCCTATTAGAGGTCTTCGAGCGGTCAAAAGAGTTTAGGGCTTCAGGGTCTCACTACATGATCGCCGCCCTCAGAAGTAGGGAAGGTGTGTAAGCCTGAATTTATAAGGGTTTTGGTGTGTTTAGGGTTTAGGGTATGATTATAAAGGGACCAGAAGGGAAAACTATGAGTAACTATACCGACCCCATATAAATTAATGGTTGCTGCGCCCCGCCTCCCTAGCCTGCGCAGGCCGCGAAAAGGGCTGAGAAGCAGCTTGCGGAGGCCTTGGGTGGTTTTTGGGGTTTAGGGTTTAGGGCCTAATAGGGTTTAGGGTTTAGGGCCTAATAGGGTTTAGGGTTCAGGGTTCAGGGTTCTGGGTTTTGGGTTTAGGCAGTGCCACACCCCGAGCCCTTTCTTAGCTCTAAACCCTAAACCCTATACATAAACCCCGGGCAGTTTAGGGCTTAGGCTTTTGGGGGTTCAGAATTATAGGGTTCGGGATTGTGAGGATGGAGATATTTAGGTTTAATTACGGGTATTTCCAACCCTATAAACCCATTCTCTATTCCCTAACCTTAAGGCCAGGTAGAGGGTCGAATCTAACTTGACTCACTTGTAAGGCTCAAAGTTGCGGGTGGGGCTTAGGTTTTTGAATTGGAAATCCTGAAGCTCCAACGTACATAACACCCCGGGCCCCGTCAACCTGGCTTTGGGCAGGGTTCAAGGGTTGGGGTTTGCGGCAGGGGGCTTCAGGGTTTGGGGTTTTAGGCTCATGGTTTAGGAGGGAGGACGAGTGAAGGTTGAGGATTTGGGGTTTAGGGTTTAGGGTTTAGGTTGTTTGGGCCAGGTGCGCGCGCAAAGTGCTGAGCAGCTGGCGGAGCTGGAGAAGGACCGGCTCGGGTATCTAAGCCGTATAAAGCCTGCTTCGAAGAACCAGCGCGGGAAGAAGACCTCTGAAGGTTTTGGGCTTTGGGGTGTAGGTTTCAAGCCACCTTCAATTCCTGTAAACCTTGAACCCCACTTGCAAAATCGGCCCTAGACCCTGGACCTTAAGCCTTGAACCCAAGATGACCCTGAGCCCTGAATCCTCACCCTAAACCCTAAACCCTAAACCCTAAACCCTAAACCCTAAACCCTAAACCCTCAAAGAACCCTGTAAGCAATCAACCCCAGGAGAACGCGGAGCTGCGGAACGAAGCTGGATGCCCAGTGTTCAGGGTTTAATATAGGGGTCGGAATAGTTGCTAGTAATATTAAGCCTTCTAAAGTTCATGTAGCCTCAAGGGGTAGGTACAGGGGCCCTTCGAATGGGCCCTCTTCTTTGAAGCCCCTCATACCCCTGAGGGAACCGAAGGGCCAATTCTTCAGAACCCTCCAACAAAGAAAGGGTCCAGGGCTTAGGGTTTGAGGTTTAGAATTAGGATTGGACGAATGTAACTTCCTGGTAGGTGGTAAGGCGTCATCTTTCCCCTGAACCTCAAACCCTACGCAAAAGGAAAAACTCGCCCAAAGCAGAAAATAACTCGCGCAACATCCGCCCAAAACTTTCGTCCAAAATCCTGCCCAAACTCCGGACACCGAACCCTATACAACTTCTATAAACCCTCGAGCGCTTAGAAACGCCTCGAACCCACAAAAGCCCGAGGCGTCGAATGCGCGCAAGGCCTCCGGAGCTGCTGCTCGCCGCGAGGCTTGGGCTAAGCCGCAGGGTTTGAAGGGGTTTAGGGTTTAGGGTTTAGGGCTAAGCCGCAGGGTTTTTGGGGTTCGGTGTAGGTTTCTATAGGGTTTCGACTCAGCCCCCGCCCCCCCTCCCCCCTCCTCTGCCCGCTGCTCTTCGCAGCGAATCAGGAAATCAGGGTTCCGGGCTAGTCCCTGGTCATACTGGCATACAGTGCCTTATTCCCCACGTCCGATTAGGAGTAGAAGCCAACCCCTAAAGCCACGTGATCCTTGTTTCCGTAAACCCTAGACCCTAAACCCTAAACCCTAAACCCTAAACCCTATAAACCCTAAACATGCTATAGGCGCGTGTGGAGAACATCTCCCGGCGTCATGAGCTGGCGGCAAAGCGCGGGGAGGAGCGTTGCTTACTGCGTGTTGGGGATGTACCAAGAAGGGTTTACCCTAAACCCTAAACCCTAACCCCTAAACCCTAAACCCTAAACCCTGAACCCTGAACCCTGAACCCTGAACCCTGAACCCTGAACCCTGAACCCTGAACCCTGAACCCTAAACCCTAAACCCTAAACCTAAACCCTAAACCCTTATAGGGTTTAGGGTTTAGGGCTTATGGTGGACCCCCAAGTCTTAAGTTTGTACCCTTGGGTTTTGGGCTCCCTTTTTCAGGATCCCGAAGGGGGAGCCTTCAGAGGTCTAGAAAGGGAGATTGGGGTTGCTTGAGGCTGTTAGGGAGTTTGGGAGACCAGGGGGCCTAGGTTTAGGCTTTAGGGTTTAGGGTTTAGGGTTTAGGGTTTAGGGTTTGGGGTTTGGGGTTTAGGGTTGGTTGAGGGCTTCAGGGGCTTTGTGGCATTGAGATTTCGAGAGTCGCAGAGCTGATTCTGAGTTGACGGTCCTAGACCCTAAGCCCCAACCCTAAACCCTAAACCCTAAACCCCAACCCCAAACCCCAAACCCCAAACCCCAAACCCTGAACCCTGAACCCTAAACCCTAAACCCTAAACCCTAAACCCTAAACCCTAAACCCTAAACCTAAACCTCAACCTTTGCACGGCTTTTGGTGGCTTCTCGAGGAGCTTGCCGCCCTCCTCGCCTGCATGAAGGCCACGACGAAGCTAGGGTTTAGGGTTTGGGGTTTAGGGTTTAGGGTTTAGGGTTTAGGGTTTAGGGGGACTTCCGGCTTTTTTCGGTTCTGTGGAAGGCTTGGAAGCAACGCACCCCCGTGCTAAACCCTTCCAGGACCCTCCGACAGCGCTTCCATTCATTAAGTGCTATGCACCAAATCCTAAACCCTATAAACCTTAAACCCTAAACCCTAAAACCGGAGGTTCAGGGAGGACCGCAGCTTACGGGGGTGTGTAGGTGCGACGGCTTAGGGCCTTTTCGTGTTGAACATTTCGGGTGCCAGGGTTAGGCTTAGGGTTTAGGGTTTAGGGTTTAGGGTTTAGGGTTTAGGGTTTAGGGTTTAGGGTTTAGGGTTTAGGGTTTAGGGTTTAGGGTTTAGGGTTTAGGGTTTGAGTTGAATCGTAGAATGCCTAAACCCAGAAGGTTTTTCCTCAGCTGCAGGAATTGGAGGTTTTTTTCACGGGGCTAAGGCCTGCTGCCCTAAGTCACGAACCTCCAAACCCTGAAGCCCTAAACCCGAGACCCTAAACCCTAAACTCTAAACCCTAAACCCTAAATCCTAAACCCTAAACCCTAAATCCAAAACCCTAAACTCTAAACCCTAAATGCTAAATCCTAATCCCTAATCCCTAAGCTCTAAACTCTAAACCCTAAACCCTAAGCCGTCCGAGGCGTGGATAGGTGAAGTGGTCCTTGCAAGGAGCACGGCGGCGCTTCGGAAGGAGGCTCACTGCTCTTCTTTGTTGGGGGTGTGGGTTTCACTGGGTCTCTCCAAACATTGTGGGTTTAGGGCTTAGGGGTTAGGGTTTAGGGTTGAATTAGAGTTTAGGGTTTAGGGTTTAGGGTTTACGGTGGGGGTGGGTGGGGGGCTTCTAGAATGGCTTGTAGGGTTTGGGGACTTGGCAAGCAACCCGAAGAAACGCAACTAAACCCTTGTAACCCTAAACCCTAACCCTAAACCCCTAAGGCCCTTCCAAGATGGCTTGACTTGTGCTCCGTGCTGTCAGCTGCTCAGGGTCGTTTGGGAGGTTCGAAGTGCAATGATAGCTCAGCTCGGCTGTGTTTCTTGTTTTTTCACTTTTTTTCTGTTGTGTGTGGGTTTAGGGTTTAGGCTTGGAGGTGTGCGCTGGCGGCTCCCACACTTGAATTCCCGACATTCTGGTACACTTGTAGATGACCCCCTGGCACCCTCTCAACTCAGCTCAATATCCCCAACTCCTGCTGTATTCCTCTGAACAGGCGACAACTCGCCCTAAACTCCGAGCCCCTCAACTCCCTCCACTGGCACATCCTATGAAGACCCAAACCAACCTTAAACCAACTCCAAACAGGCTCCCCCTCCCAACCTTAAATCGTAAGCCCCTAAACCCTGCCCCATAATTATTCCCCCGAAACCCTAAACCCTAAACCCTAAACCCCAAACCCTAAACCCTAAACCCTAAACGGGGCATGTCTTCACACTATTGAATTCAGCTGACCAAAGCTACACCCCAAACCCTAAACCTTAAAAACAAAAGACCCTTAAACCCAGAACTGACATGTCCCTAAGGGTCCATGTACCTCATTATCGCGTACTTGGGCCCAAAAGTACCTAAATAGGAAGTACCTAAATAAGAGGTACCTTAAGGCCCCAGTATTCGCTAGAGGTAGGTACATGGACCCTTTAGGGTGTTCAGGCCGAAGAACGTCTTGCCGAGTCCTTGGCCCGCGCCCGCCTGGAGAGCCGGGGCGCGCTGCACCGCGCCTGGAGTGAGGCGGAGATGACGGGGGGAGTTTTTGTTTGGATTTTTTTTTTTTTTTCACGGGGTTTTCTGGGTGTATTAAAGGGTTTTGTCGGGTTTGAGTTCGCCGGCGCTGACGCCGAGAGCGAGCTGCCCCAGGTGGCTCCGGACCAGACATCACCGCTTGCATCAAGGTTTCATGCTTCCAGAGTGCCCACGCCGCTTTCCGGGCAAGCAGCCCAGCAACGCGAACGAATCGACCGTGGGCGCGTTGAGCGCGTGAAGATGATCGCCATTTACTGAGCAGGTGTAATGGCAGTGTGGCACAGTGGCTGGCGGCTGGATTTGAGGAGACAAGCACCCCCGCCACCGCCGGGCATGGAAGAATACCTGGCGTCTTGAAGGGTTCTAAAGGGGCTTTCTTGGGTTATATGCCACCCTTGAACCCCCCTCCCTTAAGAACGTGCAATTCAAGGCCCTTTGCTTGTGTAGGGTTTGAGGCTCCGGCGTTGAAAGACCTCTTCAGCCCTTTTCGTTTTTCGATCCTTCGACTAGGGTTGAGGGTTTAAAGGTTTGGGGCTTAGCACGACTTCTAAACCCTAAACCCCAAACCCTAAACCCAGAACAACTGTCTGTAATGGCCCGTTCCCTGCAGCCCTTCAAACTCTTCTTCAACTCCGAAGCCCTTCCAGCCCCTGAGCCCTCCAAGGCCAACATAGCCCGAAAGCTTCCTCCCTCAACCCCAAAACCCCAGACCACCCAAACTCCACAGCCCACACACATCAGGGGCTACCGCCCCTAAACCCTAAACCCGAGTAAAGCCCTTAAAACGCAAAGCCATACCCCTGATGAAACGATTTAGCTGTAACCCCTCAGCTTGAAGCCCTTCAGCCCTTAAACATCTGAAACCCAGGACGCGCTTCAGGCGGTTTAGAGTTTCGGGTTATCAGACACCCCCCCCCCCCCCCCATGCTAATCCCCTTGCTTCAGATGCTCAGAGATTAGGGGCACAGGCCTCACTTCTCCAAAGTATAGTAGAGCTTAGAACTCAGCATTTAGGAGCTTCAAGGCTTAGCACGGTTTAGGGTTTCAAGGGTCTAGGGTTAGGGTCTATATAATAGAGTTGATAGGGTTCAGGGCTTTAAGGGCTTTGAGGGCTTTTGAAGATTTAAAGGGGTGTTTCGGGGGTTTAAGGGTTTTAGGGGTCTTGAAGGCTTTACTTGTTTTTAAGGGCTCCGCAAGGTTTAGGGTTTCTAAGGGTCTTAAGGGTCTAAGTGCTCCGCAAGGTTTAGGGTTTAGGGTTTAGGGCTTAGGGTTTAGCCGAAACCGTTTAGGGTTTAGGGTTTAGGGGTTTAGGGGTTTAGGGTTTAGGGGTTAGGGTTTAGGGTTTAGGGGTTTAGGGTTTAGGGTTTAGGGTTTAGGGTTTAGGGTTTGGGGTTTGGGGTTTGGGGTTTGGGGTTTGGGGTTAGGGCTAGGACTCTGGGCTTCCTTTCTCAGGCCGCCGAGGCTTCGCGGAAGGCGGCGGCGCTGGAGCGGCGCCTCGAGGTCGTTTGGGCTGGGTGTGTTTTATGTAGTAGGGTTTAGCGTTTAGGGTTTAGGGGTTTAGGGTTTAGGGTTTAGGGTTTAGGGTTTAGGGTTCAGGGTTCAGGGTTCAGGGTTCAGGGTTAGGGTTCAGGGTTGAGGGTTTTGGGGTCCCGGGTTTAGGATTTGCGGTTAAGGGGTGTAGGGGCTTAGGGGTTTAGGGGCTTAGGGGTGTAAGGGTTTATGGGTGTAGGGGTTAGGGGTTTTGGGGTTAGAGGTTCAGGGCTTTTGGTCAAGGGGTGCTTTGGAGGGTTTCGCAGGCTTGGGCGGGAGTAGGGTTTATTTTGGATGTAGACTTACGGCGATTTGCATCAGCACTTGATTATGTCATGTAAGTCAACTCAGAAGGGAAAACAAATGCCTCACCCGGAAACAGCAGCTTTGTTGAAGGTCTCTGCTTTATGTGACCCCCCCCCTCCCCCGTGGCTTATCGTGGGTTTTGGGTTCATGGTCTGTGGTTCACGTGGGGTTTAGGGTTTACGGCGTAGCTATCGTTTGGGGTTTTCACTCTGCCCCCCGTGGCTCATTGGGTTTAGACTGTAGGGTTGAATTGTAAGGCTCAGGGTTTCTCCTCTCGCCCCTGTGGTTCGTGGTGGGTTTGCGGCCCAGGGTTCAGCAGCTCAGGGTTTTAAGGCGGTTAGGGTTTTGGGGTTCCCCTCTTCCCGCGTAGGGGTCAGGGTTGGGCGGGGTCAAGAACCACCCGAGGAACCCCGCAAATTCTGCAACCCCCAACCTTTCCCGAAACCCTAAACCCTAAACCCTAAACCCAAACCCTAAGCCCTAAACCCTGAACCCTAAACACTAAACCCTAAACCCCAGCCCTAAACCCTAAACTCTAAACCTAAACCCAAAACCCGAAACCCAAAATCCCAAACCCTAACCCCTAAACCCCAGCCCTAAACCCTAAACCCTAAACCCTAAACCCCCAAACTGAAACCCCCAAAACACGAAACAGCTCTCCAGTACAGGGCTTTGATGCGGCGAGCCCCACCGGCCCGGTGGAGATCACTCGGCTGGATGGTGCCTCGGCTGGATGGTGCCCAGGGCCTCCAGATGAATGTTTAGTGTTTAGGGTTTAGGGTTCAGGGTTCAGGGTTCAGGGTTTAGGGTTTAGGGTTTAGGGTTTAGGGTTTAGGGTTTAGGGTTTAGGGTTTAGGGTTTAGGGTTTAGGCTTCAGGTAAGTTTTTTCGGTTGGGTCATCACATAACAATTGTTGTTACTGTATTCCGAGCATGAGTAGGCTGAGTCCATATGTGTCGGGGGGGGACCAGGCCGAGTACGGATTTCGGGTTCATTCAGGGCTTAGGCGTTTGAAGGGTTTGGTCATATACGCCCTTCCTAAACCCTAAGCCCTAAACCCTAAGCCCTAAACCCTAAACCCTAAGCCCTAAACCCTGAACCCTAAACCCTAAACCCTGAACCCTGAACCCTAAACCCTAAACCCTAAACCCTAAACCCTAAGCTGCCGAGAGATCCTTCACTGAGAGGCTTTGATGGGTCTCGGCCGAGCACAGCAGCGGCCATCGAACGCCGCCTACAGGAGGCGGCTGAAATGGGGGGTTTAGGGTTTAGGGTTTAGGGTTTAGGGGTTTAGGGGTTTAGGGTTTAGGGTTTAGAGTTTAGGGTTTAGGGCTACGAAGATAGGGGACCCCTAAGTAGACCCCCAAATAGTAGGATCCCCAAAAAGGTACCCCGAATATCGTAGACCCTCAAATCTGGGATCAGGTTTGGGGTGTATAAAGGGTTCGCAGGGTTTGGCGTTTTATACCGGGGCCTTCATAATCAGAACAGGGCTTTGAGGGTTATTCTAGTATTTACATATAGGGAACCATGAAGGGAATACTATTCGTCATTTTCCCGACCCCTACACTACACTATAGGGCTAGAGGGCTTCCTCAGTGGGGTTGTTGGTTCAGAGTCTAGGGTTCATGTCTTTGGTGCAGAAAATATTTAGGCTGTTGGCTTGGCTTGAAGTATTGGCTTATAGGGCTTAGGACCTGGAGTCGTTCCCATCTTAGGGGAGAGTTATAGGTGCTTTTCTGAAGCCTCATAAAGCACAAGAAAGGCCTGCCGATGATGGTTTTATTGCGTGCTTTTGGGGGTGGACAGTAGGGTATGTTTGAGGTTCAGGTGTTAAGAGGGCGCGAACCCCCCCCCCCCCCCTCGGCCCCGCCCTAACCCCGCAACCGCAACGCACCAAAAGCCCCCTGAACATGAACCTGTGCCGCGCCGATTCAACTCGGGATGTTTAGGCGACGATGCCTTCAAACCCCAGAGACTGGCCTACACGCCTTAGGGTTTTGAGGGTTGTTATAAATTTGTTTTTTTTTCAGAAGTCCTTCTTGCAAGAGTTGTTTTTGTAAAAAGTTCCAGTTCTTGGGGGCCTAATTGGGGACGGTTCCGAGAATGCGCAGGCCGATGAGCGGGCAAGGAGGAGGTTGACCACAGCCGCTTCGTCAGCAGACATATCTTCGCAAGCAAGCACCTCTCTTGAACCTAAAACCCTAAACCCTAAGCCCTAAACCCTAAGCCCTAAACCCTAAACCCTAAACCTTCAAACCCTAAACCCTAAACCCTAAACCCCAAAACCTAAACCCTAAACCCTAAACCCTAAACCCTAAACCCTAAACCCTAAACCCTAAACCCTAAACCCTAAACCCTAAACCCTGAACCCTAAACCCTAAACCCTAAACCCTAAACCCTAAACCCTAAACCCTAAACCCTACCCTGAACCTTCATCCCAGGCCGAGAGACTGGCGTCGCCTCCTGCCCAGAAGGATTCGTCGGCAGAGCCTCTTGGGGTGGAGGCGCGGGAACCCTGAACCCTAAACCCCGAACCCTAAACCCCAAACCCTAAACCCTAAACTGTAAACCCAAACCCTAAACCCCAAACTCCAAGGGGGTGAGGGGATTAGTGCTTTGTTCTTTCCTCACTTGTACTGTTCATAGCTCCTTAGACGACCCTGGCCTATGGGGCAGGTATCTCAACCTTCAGGACCAAAACAACCCGAAAAGGGTTTATGTCCATATACCTCAATGGGAATTATAGTCGGACAGGGTATAAGACCCTGAGACCCTGATTTTAGGGTTTGGCCCGCAGGGAACCCCAAACCGAAGCCTGAACTCATAAGCCATAAGCTTAGCACCAACTGCAGAAATAAACCCTAAACCCTCAACCCCTCAACCATTTGTCTCAGGATCAGCCAACCATCCTCGGGGGAGCTGAAGTGTCATAGGGCCGCAGCTGGTGGGTTTGCGCTCCCCCCGAACAAGCCCCTGAATAAATATGGGGAGGTTCACGGCAGGTAACCCAAAATTCCTGAATGCTCCTCACTACTCCCTATGTAAGGCTCTAAGCTTCCCTCGCTATAGGGACCCTAAGCTCCCAAGTCCTCCCAAGTCCCCCCTAAGCTTCCAAGCTCCTCAATAATTATAGGGTACTTAAGGAAAGGTTCCCCACAGCTCCCAAGTACTCCCTAAGGCCCCCTGTAGGCTTCCCTCCCTAGGTACTTACCCCCACATGGAATCTGAGGTGCCCCACCCTCTCTCTGTGGGAGCTAGGGTTCCGGGTTTAGGGCTCGGGATCTAGCGACTCTGCTCTGTAGGGTTTCGGTTTTGCCTGGAGGGCTGCCTCGGTATGGTATGGAGGTGGTTCGGATATGGGCGTTTGCGGCTGTAGGACGATGTTTCGGGA